GTCCTTTTGAGAAAATAGCTGAGAAAGGCATAGTATAGTCCTTCTTTTGGTTCTAATGAGGTCATTTAATTTGTCTATACTTTCTTTGAGTCTAATCACATTTCTTTGGAATAATTACATCATCAAAATGAGGAAGCATTTCTCTCTCTTTTCTTTTCTTAGCCTATTCTGGCAGCTTGTATGTAGAATTAATTAATTCAACGAGTATATACATTTAAAGTCCTCTTGACTTACTAGATTGCATACGGTTCTAGGGATGATACCCTGCCTAGACGATGTTCGTCTTACGACCGATCACAGCTTGGCACGTTTTTACTGAAACGAAAAGAGATTGCCTCTGAAACAGCGTCAACAAGAATGTTCCAGAAAAGCCAGTCAACAGTGGGTGAATAGAAATCTTTCATCGTCTTCTGAACGGATCTTTCACTAGAAATGGAAGTAAATTGAACAATTATGAAACAACTGCTTCCGCGAAACGCAAATTTGCTTTTTTCGAGTGGTTGGCGATTACGAGAAGCAATGTTATGCGAAATTCAGTGACAAACGTGGTGCCTCTTTATCAACTACCAGTCGTCCTACTGTCTGAAACGAAATAATGTAAATACATATCATGGCTCTGATTCGCTGGCAGATCGGAAAAATGGTCGAGAAGAACTGAAAAATGAAGGAAGTTGACGTTTTTGCCAAATAAATTGGCCCATCCGGACGAGGATGAAGCAAAGAGATGAAGAAACAAGCCTCCACTCACTTTGGATATCTGCTCTGAAGAGACTTCGAGTCCCGCCAACCGGTACTCAAGCAAGACGGCAACCACGAGCCGTCGTCTGTAGCTGCGCTCGTCCGATGCATCTGCTTCGCAGGTCAAACCGGCCGGTGGGATCAGATCACCAGCGCCAGCGGCCAATCGACTGGCGCCACCGACAGCCAGTCGACATCGCGTCAACTCGACGAGTCCTCGCATTCGGGACTCTTCAAGCCCGACCATCCGTTCGGAGGCTCGCAGCTGTTCAGCCAGTTCTGCCCATCCTCCGTCGAGGCCGACCGAGAAAAGGGGCACACCGACGTTGTCAACGTCGGGCAGACGATCGCCGCCGACGAGGCCGGCAATCATGACGGTCCGTACGAGACCTGTCGACGTCTTGAGCGGGCTGTACCGCATCGAGAGACGTCGTATGAGATGGAGAAGACATGACAGCCGGCAACAGCGCACCTCCGCGTCGTCAGGGAGACAGACGATCAACCGGGCCAGACCTCTGGCCAAAGCAGAGGTTCGGCTGGCAACAAATGGGATCTGACGGAGGAGGGCTTGGATTAAATGTCGGCTCGAGGCCTGCGGCGCTGGACAAGATGGCAGTCGGGCCTACAGCAAAAAGAAACAAAAGTGATTTTATCGCATTTACACACGTTTCCCTCGAAGCCTTGACTACAACAACTCGTCAACTGCTCATCCATTTTTTGC